GGGAGCCGGACATTTCCGAAAATTCAGTAGAGTGGTTGAAAGGCTTTCACCTCGCTCCCCTCAGCTCCAGCCAATTAAACCTACAAGAAAGTATTCACTAGAGCAAACAGCCAACGCTTCGTTGCTTAAAAAATTCATTCGAAGCAGATATTTTGAAATAGACAAAATTTTATTATTAGTTTATTTATTATTATAAAATTATAAAATTTATATTGATATAAATTATTTCATAATTTTTTAAATAAACTTACGTTGATTATCATTATAATCCTGTGATATCTAATATTACATGTGACTTTTGGAACTCAGGTCCCAAGTCTACTTAGGACCGAGTTCAAATTAAAACTTGACTTCCGGAGTCAAGACAGTATCGACCGGACTTTTTACATCCTATTGATTGGTAATTATTTGCAGCCATGTGGTTCAGGCCACATGTCATGTCTCAGATTATTGTTTCAGGTTTAAATCCTATTGATTGGTAATTATTTGCAGCCATGTGTTTCAGACCACATGTCATGTCTCAGATTATTGTTTCAGGTGTGAAAGTAGAAACGTGTTATGTTATAATTGTTCTGAAAAAAAAACGTTGTACAATTCATACATAAATAAATACAGAAGCTCATGTTTTTACGTATACAAAATTTGAAGTTCTTATGTCGGCATATAATATATAGTTATTTTTATTTACAAAATTTCTTGGCATTTTAATTAATGCCTCAAAATATGACCTTTTTTTTAAAAAAAAAAACGATTTGGTTAAGGGTCACCAAAATAAAAATGAAAAATGCATCGTAATATTGGTCTGTTTTCAAATAGAAAATTCTATTAAGAAATTTAGAGCCATAGAAATATTGGATTTTAAAAGCATTTCATATAAATGTTTTGATTAGAAAATTTTTTAACAAAGAAACGATTAAAAGCTAATAGTTTCACAAGACAAACATTAATCATAGCAAGCACATTATGAGCTAATTATGCATATTGATCATAATACGTACTAATTTCGCGATTCGAATTATATAATTAAAGCTTAATAAAGCTTGTTAATTATACTAATTCATTAAATTATGCTGCAAATTGATGCCACTTTTTGAACTTCTTTTACCAGGCAAGACCAAAAATATGAGAAAAAAATTTAAGAACTTTTCCTTAATTTTATCTATGATTAATAAAATGGGTAAGTATTTTTGAACCCGGACCATTTTTATATATGACGTAATAACATTTTGGTCTGGATTCAAAAATAATTACCCAAATCGAATAAAATCGCACATAATTTTTGATGCCCCATACAATAGTACCAAAAGTCGTATGATCAAAATATTATGTATAACAAACTAAGTTAAATAGATATATATTGACAATAAATATATAATATGGATTTAAAACATTACACTATAATAGAGATGTCATTCGCGTAAATTGCATAATAACGTCGTATTTCGCGTTAAATCGTTTATATTATACAGTAATCTCCGAAAGTATATCCCGGTTACACAAAATATTATTAGAAAAACATAATATCAGATATGCAAATCGACGATACGTATCTTTTGTTTTGCATAAAATTGTACGTATTATGTCTATGTATACTTTCGGAGGCTACTTTATACATACAGACGATACTGTCTAAATGCATACGGTCGGGACAAAAAAAAAATCAATTTTATGCATTTATACAGTATTAATCAATCAGATATCAGAAATTAACTGTCTAAATGCATATTACTATTTAAAAAAAATTATGCATTTAGACAGTATGCAGTATGCATTTAGACAGTATCAATTGTATAAAAAAAACATGCTTGAGATCTATTTGGGTAATTATTTTTGAACCCGGACCAATTTTATATGTATCGACATGACATAAATAATAACATTTTGGTCTGGATTCTAGGTTGATCGTAATCGTATCACTTAGGGTTGGTGCACATAAAACTCGGAAGTTGGTTTTCCCTTGACGTCACCCAATTAAAGCTTTTAAATTTATTGCTACATTTACATATGTGTAACCATGTAATGAAAGATCAAACTGGCACAGAGTTTTTTTCACGTAATGCTTTAATGAAAATGCATAATGATTTATTTGGACAAAAATAATTGTTTAATTTGCAAATTAATATATAAATATCGTATTTAACACAAATTAAAAATTGATCTGCATTCGTATAACATACGTACAGTACGTAAAAATTAATTCTATAATTAGGACATGAAAATCTAATTTCACAAACAAACTTCATGAGCACCTTGGGTTAGCGCCTCCAATGCCATCCGGACTATTCTGTTTATTTACCATTATTTAAGCAAATAAATAAATGAGTAAATGGGGTGTCTCGTATTAAAAGAGCCCATTTTGACATATAAACAATTTTGAGTAAATCGAAATTAAATGATCAAATAGAAATGTAAATCTTTTTATTATATAATTAGCTTCTATTATCTGACAAACTTTTTTATTGAATATATATCTGTTCAAAAATCAAATAAAAAAATTGTTGAAAAATTATCAAAATGGGCCCTTTTAATATGAGGCACCCCAAATTCTTCGTTAAGCTCTAGGGCGGGATTTTTGTGTATCCGTAAATTACGGATTTTGATTGGTTATCCCAATCTTAAATGGTCTCGTGTATGTTATCTCGCGGAAGATTACAGTATACACACCCTACAGTGTACAATTCATTTATTAACTCATTTTTAATCATATGGGGTCTTTGCCTTGAAAATGACCTTACGGTACATGATACCGTAAGGTCATTTTCAAGGCAAAGACCTCATATATATTATTTACCTCAGTGCACTGACCAAAGTACCCCTTGCAAAATACCGGTGCAAACACGGGGTCTCTATTAATTAAATATAGGTTTTTTAAGCATTTAGACTGCTTATCATGAATGCGAGTATGTATATAAAGGAAATTTCTCTTTCTCGCGACACTGTGTAATATACCCGGGTATTTTGTAAGCTTTTGACGGGTATTTTGTATTAGACCCGGGTCTTTTGGTCAGTGCACTACGGTATATCAATACTATGAAAATGACTACATTTAGTGATCCTGGCCGATAGCAAAAAAAAAGAAAAAAGGCTAAACCAAATTATCGGTCTAGCTGGTCGATTTTTAGAGTCTGTTTGGTCGATATTTACTATGATCAAAACTTAGATTGCACATTCCTAACGTTTTCGATGAGGAATCTAAAATACGTGTAAAGTCAAAGATTTAGTCTCAATAAATAATGATCTGCAGGATCACCGACGCTAACTGCATTGGTTGTTGATAATGTACGCGCGTTAAAAAAATGAAGTTAGTGATCCTGCCGATCATTATTTGGGAATTGACTATGAAAACCTCTATCTGAAGCAAATATCAGACGGTGGTTTATCTAGTCCAGTCCCCATTTATCACCTGATTAGACTTGACTATCGAAACCAGTTACGACATAAGCCGTAATGGTTTCGAAAATTTTCGTGTACTATGACGCAAGCAAAAATATCGTTCATAATGGGTTGTCGGTACTGTTCCTGATAGGGTAGGGAAAAAAACGATTTACATACCGTTTCTGATAAGGTTCTAAAAAAGGGCCTCTAAAATACTTATTTCTATAGCGAAATATATGGAATGAAATAAAATTAGGATTAGGGTTCGTTTTCAGAACCCTATCAGAAACAGTGCTCAAATTTTTTTTTTTAACTTTATCGGAATCGGTACTACTGATCCATCAGGAATAGTGATTTTGCATAGCGCGAAAACGAGTTTAATTTAATAGTCTTCTGTGTTAAATTGGCACAAATTAAATTCATTTAATTGTGCTTATAGATTACACATGTTCATAAAGCTGATAATATATTAAATCCAGAACAAATTTTAATATAAATACTCGTTTCTTCAACTGTATATTTCAACTTTCAGTTTTGGTTTTTACGCGCCTAAAATAATGCCTCAACAAAAAAAACGTAATAACGCAACAGTAGCATGTACAAATTGTCGAAAACGGCACGAAAAATGCAATGCACTTTCCGGAGAAAATAAATGTACAAACTGTAAAAAAAGAAATCTGGAATGTACTTTTATAGAGGGTAATAAGCGAGGCCCAAGGTCTGCTGCTGATACATACCAAAATGCACTCATTATCAACCCTTCTTCCTTCATTTACGATGAACAAATGTCAAATAATGATCAAAACATCACGTCCTCTCTTAACTCATTTCCTGCTAGTGGTTCTTTCTCACATTTTTATAGTCATACTACTGTTACTAATGATAATACTTATGAGACTACCAAGGCTACTGAGGCTACTGAGATTTTCCAAAATACTCAACCCTCATGTTTTCATGATGAACAGATAATGTCAACTAATGATCAGAATATATCTTCCTTTTCAACTAACGATTTAAACGATTTCTTCTATCACGAAACTCTGCATCCGTAGATTAACCCTTATAATGAGGCTACTGCAACACCCCGAAACTGCAAGTACGTACTTATTTGCCTGAATCATTTCCGGCAGTCGGATTGCTTTCATTCCTGTTTTTCACGATTAGCTGATTAGTTCGAATGTTGATCAAAAAAAATGTATAGAATGTGACTTTTTCCCTTTCAGATTAAAAATAGGTGGACTTTTTTTTAATGAACTTTTTCGTTACAAACACAAACACAAACACAAACATTTTTCGATTTCTTGTTATAAATATTCTTGGTTTTTTATCACGAATAATATCACTACTTAAGTCATTTAATTTTAAGTTTGATTTTTTCAAATAAGTCTAATTCAGTTTTCATATTATTGCGAGTTTATTTAGATTTATTATAAAGTATTAAAGTACAGTATGATCAAATAATTGGAGTTTTAATATTCTTAAGTAAAATAAGATTTCATTATAAGGAAATGATTTTTTTAAAATTAACAAGTATTAAAGTACAGTATGATCAAATAATTGGAGTTTTAATATTCTTAAATAAAATAAGATTTCATTATAAGGAAATGATTTTTTTAAAATTAACAAAAAATTAAAAAAAAATATCGGAATAAAATTTATTCATAAAATTTATTTAAAGCATTATTTAGGCATTTATACTATATATTCATTTGCACTATAACTATTAGTCAATTATAATCATCCTCTCTTTACAATCATCATCTCTATAGCCACATCACATCGTTGGTATAAACTAATATCCCGACAACCATTTATTCGACACCCATTTCGCCGACAACCTATTTCTCCGGCAGCCCACTTTCCCGAAACCATTTCTCCGACAGCCGGGTAAATGGTTGCCGAGGAAATCTGCCAAATCCCATATCGTTATCACATTTTGTGCTCAAGAACAAATTACTATTAAAACAGATGAAACTACATCTATATAAGCACATATTGTAAACTTAATTTTTAAACAGTTATAAATAACAAAATGAGTAATTATATAGAGGGTTGATTATAAGTAACAAGAAATAAATATATAAGTTTTTTATTAAATTATTGTAGTTAATTATGAATAGTACAGTTATCATTTTATATAATTATACAGTTGTGCACATGTCTAACTAATAATAGTATAGAAGTATTATGATATAAAAGTATCTTTACAGAATCACATTATATAAAATTATAAATATATACGTAATTATAAAGAGGTAATTTATAAAATTTTTATAATAAATTTTTTTTAATAAAATTTTATACACAATTGCAAATTATTGTTATATGTAGTATAAAAGTTAAATTTACTAAAAAAATTAATCTTTATAATAAGCAAAGTTGTTTAGAAAAATAAACTATATTTATTTTAAATTATATATATATTTTTTCATTTAGCAATCTTGCTAGTAATTCTTTATTTAAATTAATTTATCTCTGATGCTACAAATTGTTGAGATAAATTTATAAGATCTAATATACTGCAATAACTTCTTTTAGTATTTATAAGTAATTTGCTGTATTAAGAAGTTATTAATAAATTTAAAACGTATATCTCTTGCTACTACCTATAATAAAACTGTCAATTTATAATATTTTCTTATAGAGAAGTAAAAAAACCAATACAACTAAAAAAATTAAATAAAAAAAGAATCAAATATTATTTGTATTAGAGCTTTAAAAATTGTGATGGCTAATGCTGATTTTGAGCCTATTTTAATACAAAATTTTATAATTTTTTGGGGTACATTTTTTATCTTTTTTAATAGTTGGACTAGAATTTAGAGTTAAAATTGTTAATCAAAGAGTATATATAGGTTTTAGTAGATTTAATGAATCTAAATTGAAACTTCTAAAAATTAGCATCAGCCAAAATCAGCATCAGCTATGACAAAAATTATATATAGTTAAATAAGATAGTCTTTATATATAATTATATTTAATTTTTTTTAAAAAACTAGTCTCTTTAAAGCTAAGACTTTATTGTTGAGTAGGAGCTTACAAATATTAGCTTCAAGAGAATTATATTAGAAAATATAACTAGCTACATATATACTTTTGGTGTCTAATTAAAGTAGTTGGCTTACAACTTTTATATTATAGATTTTATATTAAAT